TGCAAAGTGTTTTACTGGAGTTGGAGGACTATTGAATTGCTTGCTTCCAAATGTTGTTGAAGGGATTTGAAGTAACTCCTTAGGTATGGGGCTGCTTAGATGAGTTATAGGTTGTGCTAGGTGGATTGAGCTAGAGGGGGCTTGTTGCTAAACTGCTGAAGAATAAGATGAACTTTTGGCCCAGCCTAGTACAGTGATCTTTTTATTATGTAAGGGGGAGAGGAACTTCTGGAGTTCCTGTGCTGAGAAGACTGTCTAGTCCCTCATTGCTTGTGTACCTTGGCATGGCTGGTGCTGGATGGAGATGCCTCCTGTGTTCCTTCTCTATAGGGCCATGCTGTGAATGCAAGGGTAAGTGTATTTATCCCCTCGGCATAGTAAGAAGCATTTCAATGGCAGCAGAAGCCAAAGAATTGAACAGTAGGATAAAAAAAGAGCATCTTGAAATCCTGTGGGCTCTGCATTTTAGGTCTAGCAGTCATCTTAATTGAATTGGGAGAAATCTTTCTTGTTTGAGAGCAGAAACAAACATTGCTGCCGCTTTTGAGATACATATTTTATTTGTCAGTACAGGGAGAAGTATGTCTTCTTTGAAAAATGTTACCTTGCTGTGTAGTGAGATAAGCACCTCTAGTGGATGTTGTTTTGAGTTCTCAGCCACAGTCACAGACAGGGAAGGAACAGGGTAAGCCTTGATGTGTGCAGTGTCATAACTGGAAAGTCAGAGGCTGTTGCTGCTTTTCTGGCTAGAAAGAATATTTTTTATGTCCTGAGGAAGACTAACAAGGTGTATAGAGAATGTTGTGTCAGACATACCCATAGGTAGTCATAAAACTGTCCATCAGAAAGAGAATAAAACTGTTTTGTGATCTTACCAATTTTGTTGCTTAGACAACTTTTTTTTCTTCTGCTTTTTCAGCAGAGGTGTCAGCTGATGAGACAACAGGTGAAGTTTTTCTGTTTTAGGTAGAACTACAATATCTTGAATGAAATGGATCTGTCTGGAGACTCGGCAGACATAGAAAAGGACTAGACGCAAATGGAGATTTGTAAGAAGGTGATAGAATAGATTGAAGGTGAATGAGGATCAGTAGAGAATAATATTCTGGGAAGGAGAGCAGGGGGACAGGAGTGCAGTAAAACAGGAGGGTGAATGTTTCCAGAGGTGGAGTTGTGAAAAATATCCTGGTGGTTTAAAAAGCCAATTAGTGGCTTGGTGGTTAAGTGCAAATCCTAAAAGAAGGTAGTGTTCTAGTTATGCAAGCAGATTACAATGCTTGAGAATCGTATGGCCTTGGGAGGGAGGACTCTAGTAAAATATCTATATATGTGTATTTATTTTTTAAGGGTTGGTAAGAGTATCTTAATGCAGGAGGATGCCTTTACAACATCAAGGTTTTGAGGCTTTTCTATATGCCACAGGACTGACTAGTGAGACACTGACAGAGTTTAAGAACTACAGGGTTAAAAAGCGTGTGTTCCTTCCAGGGCCTGATGCTTCAATGCAGAAATCCGAAGGCAGAAGCAGAACAGAGTAAAGATGCCAGTTACTGGAGCACTGGCTGTGCCTGCCTATGAGTGCTCTAATGTCACGGATGGTGATCTGAGGAGTGAGAAACTGTGGAAGACCATATAGCAGTTGTATGTGAAAGAAGATATAGGGAGGAATTTCAAGTGAAAATTGCTGCCATGTGTAGAGTAGTATCTGACTTTCTCAAAGTTCAGCTTTTCTTAGTTTGTATTCAGTTTTATAGTTAAAAGCTGCTTTACTCTTCCCCCTATCCTGCATTTGTCTGTTTCACCAACTCTAGAGAACCCTTTTTGTAAAGAAGATAAGCCTATTAAAGCTGCCTGACCCTTGTCGACACTCCTTGCTGATGGTGGGGTCTGTCTGTCACTGTATGTGTGGAATGAAATTATATTAGAGTGGGTTAGGGAATTCTGATGCTGCCTTTATTCTGGACCACCAGCATCCTGGAGATTTATCTCTGGGAAACATAGCTGATGCTGCAGAGGCCTTTAGGAATGTGCTTCTGGTGTGTCATACAAAACTCACAGCTGCTGATATAGCAGTTTCTATGGGACCACTTATATCTTCAGAAGAGCTATCTTTGAAACTTGGAGCCTCAGGGATGCCCCTGTTGTGTAACCTGCCTCCAGTAGTTCAAGTTTTAGGTCTTCTGATGTGCTTCTTGAAAATGACCAGTACTGTAAGAGTTGAGCTGAGCTACACATTATGCTGCAGCACATCTTTACTTCTCTTTTGCACAGGCAAAGTATGTAAAGTAACTGTAATGCTATATATTATCCTAAAGCTAGTACTTCCCTTTTGTCACTCCTTTTGCTTTCCCTAGCAAAAGTAACAGTTGAATGCTCCTGAAGAACAATGTTCAGGTTTCATTGTAAACACTTTCTTGGGTGTAATTGACTTAGTTTATAAGATACTAAGAAAAGATAAAAGCTTTAGGATATGAGTGTTTAGGTTCAACTGTCACTTTTCTCTCAAAAGAGGAAACTATTAATTTTTGATACTTAAGCTGAAAAATCTGAATGTAGTCACAAACTGTGATGACTTTGCCTTTGAGTACAAATCTTAGTGAAACCCATGAAGGGTGGTAAGTTTGTTTTTCCAATTTTATTGTTTTAGTCCTCTGCTTCTTTGCTGTTCCCAACAAACTAGTCTTGCTGCAAATGTTATTGCCATTATCTCAAAGTAGGGTTGACCTTTGAGCCTTCCCACTTTGTCTCTTTATTTGCATTTACTTCTCAGAATGTTTTCTTTAAGTTGACAGTTGACAGTTGTGCTTTGATGGTGACTGTTTCTTCCATATAATTTAGTAAGCTAGACTCCACTTTTGGAATACTTGGAGGAGATATACGGTGCTGGGAGAGCTGAGCTCTCTATTGGTACAGGATTCTTGTTCAATTTTGTCACTGGAGCAATAGTGAAACAAACAGAGGCAGAACACAAGACTAGCAGCCAGGCAGTGTTGGTGCACTTTGGCTGTGTGGGAGAGGAGGTGTGTGCAGTGAGGGCCAGATTCTTGTCTGCTGGTGTAAGACCATGCCTCTAGTGGGTGAACACACTGGAGGTGCAGTGTGGGTGCTGTGCTGAAAGAGGTTAGCTCCTGTGAGTTCTGCCCCCTCTTAGCACTCTGGAGAACTGACTGCCTCTTGGCACATGCCTCCAGCTGTGGAGACTCCTCAGGGTTGGAGCACTTTTCAGAGCACTGTTTTTGTGTTTTGTTTTTTCCTTTTTTTTTTTTTATTTATTTTTTCTGTCAGTATTACCTTGGTCATGTTTGGTTCCACTTTAACCGGGTCTTTTTAGTCATGAGGTGATCCTGTGTATGAGCTGAGCCCTTGGGTAGGCAGTGGTGTGACAGCGTGGGGGAAATGGGACATTGCAGCATGTCATGTGGTACACAGGTAGGGCTGCTTTTCACATCTTTGATTCTTGCTGTTAGTAAAACAAAAAGGGACTGATGTAAGCTGCTAATCAGGGATATTGTGACAAGATTCATTCTCTGACAGCAGTCAAGGTGAGCAAATCTCTATTTTACTGCATACGTCTGGCCACTTACCGCTTGTCTGTGGCAGGTCAGGAGTATTTCATGTTTGCCTGCATCAGCTGCCATGGAGAGATTTGAGAGGATGAAAATGAATGTCTGTTCTACATCCTGACAGCAGGGAAGCATCTTATCATTAAGTCTGTTTCCATCCGCTGAACTCTTGACTTAATTAGTTGCTTCATATGGAGGAAATTTTTCTCCTGACTTTGGTTAGCTAGCACCAAGGGAGAGTGCCTGCAGAACTGGAGCTTTTGTGGTTTTCTTTTTAAAATGTTGCCACCGAAACCAGCATTTCAAAGCTGCTTGCCAGTGTGCACCCTGCACAAATGAAATCAAACACATCTCTTTTTCCAGAGTGGTCTGTCACCTTTCTTCTTTCTGTGGCAGTAGAGGCTGGCCTCCTCTTTAAATGCAGCTACTTCTCTATAGGTAGGAATTCAAACACCTAAGCAGCAGTGAGATGACCGAACTTGTAAGGTTTCTTTTCCAGCAGAGGGATTTGGGGCTATTATATATTATTTCATGGAATCATAGAATATGCTGAGTTGGGAGGGACCCATCAAGATCATTGAATCCAACTCCTGGCCCTGCACAGGACACCCTAAAAGTTACACCAGGTGCCTGAGAGCATTCATTGTCCAAACACTTCCTGAACTCAGACAGGCTTGGTGCTGTGACCACTTCCCTAGGGAGCCTGTTCCAGTGCCCAACCACCCCTCTTGGTGAAAAACTTCTTCCTGATATCCAACCTAAATCTCCCCTAACTCAGCTTCATGCCATTTCCTTAAGTCCTGTCACTCCCGAGAGTGAAGAGATTGATACTTGCCCCTATGCTTCCCCTCATGGGGTTGGTGACCTCATGAGGTCTCCCTCAGTCTTCTCCAGGCTGAACAGATCGAGTGACCTCAGCTACTCCTCATAAGCTTCCCTTCCAGACCCTTCACCATCCTCGCTGCCCTCCTTTGGATGCTCTCTAACAGCTTGGTGTCTTTATATTGTGGTGCCCAAAACTGCACACAGTACTCAAGCTGAGGCCACACCGGTGCAGAGCAGGACAATCACCTCCTTTCACTGGCTTTGACTGTGGTGTTAGAGTAGCTTCACTCAATCTCATGGTGAAGTGGAAATTGCTGTAAATGCAGCAGTGTTTGTGAATGGCAAATGTTTCAGTCTGTAATTTGCTTTTCCAGTTATTTCACCTGGTGTAAAACTTAGCTTGATTTACTTCTCAACCATTGTGGTGATGGTCTGCTTTTTCTCTTGTAGTGGGAGGTTCCCTGGGAGATGGTAGGAAATGGCAAGTTGCAGGAAACACTACTGCAGTAAAGTTTGTTTTCCCTGTTGATTCCCTGACTGGTATCGGAGGCAATGAAAACTGAACACGGAATTGAAAACAAAACGAAAGCCCTCTGGTAACCATCTGTCAGTTGTTACATAGCATGTGGTGGCAGGATGAAACTTGTGCCCAGTCTGGTCTCTGATCTCCCCACAGCAGCTAGTTCCAGTTGCTTTTGCCAGGGAAGTTGACTGCTCTCTGTCCTTTTGGAGTAGCTTTCTCCATGGGAGGGGTTCCTTCCTGAGGCTGAGCTGCTTCCTGTCATGTTAAGGATAGATGTATTTATCTTGATTAGTTTCTTTGAGCTGTGCAATGACCAGTTGTAATGATTTTTACTGTTGTGCAATTGTTTTTCAGCAGTAGCAAGAGAACAGCTTTGTCTTTTTTCAAGTCTTCCCTGAGCCTTTCTTTGTCCTGGCATACTCGTTTGGAGAACACAAGGCTGCAGCCGCCAGCCCCAGCCCCACTCCATGAATTCATCAGGTTGATCTTTGCACCCCTGCTCCTCAGGAGGGTCGGATGGCAGCTGCAGCTCCTGTCAAGCATGATGCCGGGCAGGGAGCTTTGAGAAGGAGAGTTACAAAAGGCTCAGTTTAAATCATCTGTGTAAGGGCACATCAGAGGCTCTGTCACCCAGGCCCCTCCAGGCCCCACCGCTTGTCTTCTGCTGCTATGGTTGTAATGACATTAGCATTTCAAAAAGGGGATTACCACAACCCCCAGGTTCTGAGGGGAGGGTATTTTGGCTTGAAAAGCTGCTTTCTGGTTATCTCTGCCTATTTTCCCCCCTGCAGTGGATCCTGAAGGGTTGGTGAAGGTATCCACACCATGATAAAAGGGGATTGTTGTTGTCGAGAGGAAACTGGTTGTTTATTGGCCTTAATGTGGGCTGGCAGATATGAATTTGTCGCTGATAGCATTCTTTCTTGCTGATTGGAAGTGACTGCCTGAGAATTTCCTGATGGAAAAGTTAAAGGGTCTGTGTTGGGATCACAGCTGTATGCTAGAGAAGTATCCTGAAGTCATGTTTACAGGAAGGAGGTATGGTTGTTATACTAGTTTGTCTAGTGTATTTCAGTCAAGGGAAATGGGGAGCACATGCATCCTATTCATCATCTGCCTTCTACACCTCTTGTGGTGGCAAAAAACCTGTTCTGTGCCCAGGCACAGAATTTTAGGGTGGTTCCTTGGGAAAAGTGATTGTATTCTTACAAGGTTTTGTTTAGCAACAAAAATTCTGTAGTGAAACTTAACTCCTGACTCTTGCAACTCTGTTTTATTACCCTTACCTCTGATTACAATTCAGTTGATCATTTTTCATTAAGTTTACTTTCCCTTTCTGATGCTACTTGTGCTGGAAACTTGTGTTAAGGCTTTAGATATGCTGGGCTGTAGTGGAAAATCCCTATGTTTGCTATCTCCTCTCCACTTCCATTAGATATAGAAATGACAGGTCAGCCCAGGCAGATTGGTTGTCTGGTCCCTGGGGCAAGAGAACAAAGGGATTTGTCTTGTTTGCCTACCAGTGAGAGGCAAGAGTATTTTGTGCTACCTCTCCAACCATGTATATGGGCCATAAAATTATTAGCTGATCCATGGTGTCCATAACAGGAGCCCCTTGACTTGAGTGAGTACAGTTAGAGGGTGTGCAGCAGAAAACGCTGGTGGTTGCCTGGAGCCGTGTACTGCTAGTGCTGTGTGTATTGTAGTATTGAAGAGGAAGGGAAAGGTGTGTTTTGAGGAGACGTTACTATATGTGTAGGTTGGAGTGTTCACAGGCCTTAATCTTTGTGTCTGCCCATCCGGATTTCTCTTGCATGCTCACATAGGGCATAGCCCCCCAAGTGGTTCTGCAAAGCAGTGCCGATGGAGTCATAGATGTCCCTTGCTCCGAGTGCTGCTGGGAGCTGGGTTTTTTCCCATGACTCACAACTCTTGCACGGGGACAAACAGGCAGAGCCTGGCTGGAAGAACTGCTATAGTTGCAGCCTGAGCCATAGATAATCTGTCCCACTGGGCATCAGGGAGGAGCAAAAGTAGCTTCTTCTGTAAACACAGTACAGAGTATTTGGCATGCTGAGAAAGGGAAGCATTTAACTTCACTGTGTTAATACACAACTCTTTCCAGGAATGTTGTGGCTGCTGACAAGGTGTGTACATGCTTATTCAGTATATTTCTAACTCTACCAATATCCAGGCCTGTTCTAATCTGCTTATTTCTGTAGAGCACACATCTGTCTATAAAGTACAACAAGGATGGAATGTCTTAAACATTAGATGTTCAATTGAACCTACATTGAGTGAAGGTGGGATATCTGGGTGCCCTGTGCTGAACAGAAAGCACAGGGTGACAGAGCCTCAAGTCTCTGCGGTCACTCTGTCTTGTCCTCTCCTTTTTTCTGTCTCTGCAAATGCATCAGCAGACACAGCTATGCAAATCTGCCAGCTGTCTCCTTAGGAAGTTAGTCACCAAGTTGCTGTGCAACCAGCTCTAGTTGCACAGGCTTTTGAATTTGCAGTTAAACTCAGCTACTGTGCATCTGTGTGTGGCTGGTTTTGGGATGTGTGAGTTTCTGCATCTTCTTTTCAAAACACTTGTAGTGATGATAGAAATGAAATATTCAGTATTATGATAGAAGCAGGCTGGAGAAAAAGTAAAACTGTAAATCTGAATGCTGTGAACTAAAAATCTAAGAACTAAAAATGCAGGAAACAACAAACAGCCTGATTTTTGAGGGGCTGATCAAGTTTTATATTTACTGTGGGAGGAACCCTCTTTCATTCTTTCCAGTTTCAGGGCAATTACTGTTTTAAGGCTTGCAAGAGAAAGATAAGGACAGCAAAAAGCAGAATGGATAAGTGCTGGTTGTAATATTTAGTGGGTTAAGAGCATTTATAATTATTATGGAGTAAGAGGAGGGGAAAAAGCTTGAAGGAGAAAGTAGTTTTATTTCCCTTGGTTCCTGTTTGGATTAATGAATTTAATTACTTGGAAATAGCTAGTAGCAAACTTGTGGCTTTTTTTCAAATGTACTTTTAACAAGACTGCAAATTTTAAAAGAAGAGGCAATTCAGTAAAAATAATTGGAGACATAAGACCTTAACTGCTATATCCCTTATTGCAAGTGCCTTGTGTCAGTAGATGTTGAGAACTGAATTAATATGCCTCTGATGTATTGAGAGGGGAGAAACCAGGGCAATAAGATGCAATTCTAAATGCAAGGAAGCAAGTGAGATACTGACTTTCAAAGAGATCCTTTTAATAAAGTTGTTCTTTCTTTTGTTCCTGTCAGCATAAAATAGATACAAATATGGAAAGGAAATAGCTGCCCAGAATAATGGGATTCTGTATAACAAGCGGCAAGAGTGCATGAGGTGGGAGAAAGGAGATGGGGCAGAATGCCAGAAAAGGATCTTTCTACAATAAAGTTTGTGTCAGAAATTCCTCACTTCTAGATGGTATAGTTTAGATTCCACTAAATTGTTAGTTCTTTTGTCAGCTTGAACGGGTCCTTATAAAGTGATATAGCAGCTAAGCAAGTAAATAGTGAAGAAAAATAGCATTGTATCTTTAAATTAGAAAGATATCTGGTGGGATGGCTCTGATGTCGGGTGCATTTACCATCAAATGAAATTTTCCAAAGTGCTTGTGTTCCACTGGTAATCAGTTGGGAGAGTATGTCTCAAGTCATGCAAACACTGCTGAAAATTTTGCCTAATGTGTTTATAATTTGAAAGAGGGATTTAGTATTCTGCTGCTTAAATTTATAGGCATTACATTAGTGAAGGAGAGCTGCAAACTTCCTATGAAAACTAAGTAGCATGAGATAACTGAATAACAGAGCAACTGAGTAACATCTGGAAATCCATGAAGAGACACTGAAGATGGTTTTTTCAAAAGGTTACTTGACTGTAAGCAGATTGAGGGAACATTTGAAAGAAGACTCAAATCCATTCAGTTAAGCAAATTGCAGTGGTGGCAGCCCATTCTGAGTTGTTTCAGGAAGGCAAGGTAATACCATATGCCTTTTCTTCTTCGTGGGTACATACCCCCAGATAAGAGTAACTGTCAGTACTAAAAGTCTACCAGGAGTACAAGAGAGTTTCATATTACCAGTTTGTCCAACTCTGTGACAAGAAAAAACATGTTGCCAGACCTGGCTAGGCCCTGAATACTGATGGGAGGAAGCTTAATTCTCTACCTGCAGTTCTCCTTGGAAAGATGCTTCTATGTTCCCCGTTTTCCCAGTAGCAACAGGCTCTTCTATTGTCTTCAGCATTATTATGAGCCCCAGTGTGAGTGCTCCCCAGGGCATGACTTATTAGAAAATAGTATGCTGAATAAAGCAGTTTTATGCAGCAATGGTGAGACACTTTCTTGTGGTTTTCTAAGCAATCCTTTTTGTCAAGTCATCAAGAGTAGCGTTTGAAAGCAACATGCCATGTTTGGTTAGTCTCATCAGGTGATCAGCCATGGAACAAGCATGGCCCCTGACTGGATCCGATACAGATGCCATAGGACAGAAATAGCTGTTCGTTCTTGACCAAGGAACACCTCTTTTAAATCCATCCTTCCTGTTCCTGTGGGCCACTGCAGCCCTGGAGATCTCCTTGACTGCAGTATAGCTCTGACTGTGCAGGTATTTTGCACTTCTAGACAGGAACTCACTACAGTCTAGTAGACGTGATTCTTCAAGAGGATTTCCATGTTATGTTCCCGTTCCCATGAACCTTGGTTTTGACCATTTTTACTGAGGAGAGCAAGTCACTTAATATGTCCAAATTTTGTATGTGCAGCCACATGACCTTGTATCAGAATGGAGCATTATGGGAAAACTACTTTTCTGGGGGCTTTTTGTGGAGTCTAGACTGGAAATCTGTTGCCAGTAAATGTGCTAGGCTGGGACTAGATGTTTCCAAGCAGTGGTCTTCAGAACACATAATAATGGTCCATGTTGTTCTGCCTGCCACATGATGACAGCTTCTTACTTTGAAACTGCTTTAATTGTGTTAAAATAAAGCTTTGAATGTCTTTTTGCTTTTCAGTGCAAGCAGTTTCTTTCTGCAAGTAATTGGCAGAGGGATAAGCCTCTGAACAAGAAGGTATATATTCACAAACTGCTTCTGTTACAGAGGAGTGCTCTTCTTGGAGTGTGTTCTACACACTGCAGTAACTTTCATTACTGATAAGGGGTTTAAAAAGAGCGGGAGGAGAGAACTCCAAAAAGCTCAGCTGTTAAGAGGGAAACACTGGTACA